AGGAGGACCTGCGCTACCTGGAGCTGGAGGACACAGTTTCATTGTATCTGCAAGGTTTAGAACGGATAAATAACTTCTGTGGTGCAGCTGCTCAGGCTTTGCAAATTTGACATGTTTATTAATGAAAATGTGACAGAAAAGAAAGAAACAGTCAGCTAAGCAAGATGCCCCTGTAACTCTGCTGTCATCATTAGGTGAATACAGAATACCAAATATTTATGCTTCTATATAATTCAGGATCAAGAAAATAAATATCTCTTTTATGTGCTCTATTTTCTTTGGAGAAGAGAGTAGAGGAGAGTGTGAGTCATAGTGGAAGAAAAAATTCACTTATTTTCTAACAAAAACTACTTGCTTTGGAGGAGGATCCGAGCATTAACTTCTGTATGCTGATAACCCCTGCAGCCTGGCTGCTTCTACCAAGAAGCTGACAGCCTGCCATTCCTCAGTCTGTACCTGTCTGGTGACCTATGGCCAGAAGCCAAGTCATATTTCTTGCTTCTGCTGTGGATGAGATAATTGTTTCTACCTAGGTCTGAGTACGGAATAGCTATGTACCCTTGGCAAGGATTTCTGATGAGCAGAGTTTTGACCCTTCACACCATAACAAATCCTGCCAGCTGCAGTCTGACTTCTGAGCATAGGGCTGGTCTGAGGAATTTGGGAAGGTTAATATTAACATCTATTAGTGTATGAACAATATTAGTTCTATGGCTTTTTGTGTTTGTTTTTTTCTAAGGAGCTTTTTTGCCATGATCTAATTCGGATGATTCTCTCCTTAAGCAATTTAAAAAAAAATGCTATGATTATTGAGCTCCTGAGAAGGCATTTGATGCACGGTAACAGCTTTAAGCGTTTTTCTGTGCCCTCCAAAGCCTATATGGAAAAGGAGCAAGATGCAGACTCATAATTCTCTATTCCCAATAGGCAGAGAAGTGTCAGGAGTTGTCCTGTCCGTTTAATCATATTCACTTTTCTGAGGTAAAAATCTTCATGAGAAGAAATTAATTTCATGTTGCTTTTGAGTTAAGGAGTCCACTGTTTTGTGTAGTCATCTATTTTTTAACAATTGATTGCCTCAAAATGATTTTCCAAGGACAGTATTCAGGAGTAACGAAGGGGCAGAAGGCTGAGAAATGGCAAATGCCGAAGGATTTTACCTCTATCCTTGTGGAATTTGGTCCATATTTAAATACTTATGCATTTAACTTGTGATTTCCTATGACATTTCATAGGATTGGAAAGTATCTATCACATTTGTGCAAGAATTTACACATGCCATAAAGAAGAACTTGTCAAAGGTTAGAGAGATTCTACCTACACACATTCCAAAACAAAATGCTGTGATGTTGCCAAAACATTACCCTTCTCTTCTAGGCAGAAATCTCAAGTAATTATTCCAAAGATGAAAAACCTTGAATGCCTGCTAGCTAGTGTAGAGGAAGACATGAGCAGAAATTTAGGGACTAGATGTCCATCTGCTCCTCTCTGCAATTGAGGGACTTAGTGCTGTCATCTTTTTAAAAGGTCAAATAACAATCCTGCTTGCTGTGACAAAGGTCGCAAACATTTTGGGGTGTTTTAAAGAGTCCAACTTGCTACTGAAGCTTGAAACAGATTAAATTTTCTATATCATCTTTTTTTTCTTCAAGAAAAAGTGCTTGGATTTTTGCTCAATATAAAATCAAGAAAAAAGTATAATCTGGATAGGCTCTGGCATTCCAAATCCCTCAGTGTTATGGAGAATAGAAGAGACACAAGTGACAACATCAGTCTTATGAGGCACAGAGGTGAGATGAACAGTTGGACTAGATGATCTTGGAGATCTTTTCCAACCTTGGTGACTCTGTGATTCTCTTCTAGTATGTAGTTTTCAGAAAAGCAGTAGTAAATTCTTCTCATATTTGTAAGAGGAAGAGTATTATAGCAAAAGTAAGGTGCTATTTTTCCGGTGAAATTAAGCATACACTTCTGTGTATTTTAAAAAAGATTTTATTTATTGCACAAAAAATCCTTTCAGGTCTTATTTTGTTACGTAAACTAAGGTTAATACTGAAAGTAGTAACATAAATAATTATATGTGCCACCTCTCATTATTATCCTTAAATCTTTCTCTGTTCTATCACTGAGATCACTACATTTCCTTTCTGCGCAGGTTTATCAACATATTTAATACTGTTAAATATGTTGTTAATAACTATGATAATAGCCTGGTGCTTTGTGCTGGAAGACTTTGCTTTCAGTAGTTAACAATTTTGCTAGTGTTATCCAGCATATCTTGCAGTTTCCTTGTCGCACATCTATCTAACAAAAAATTATCTTGTCTTGACAGAAAACTGACTAAAATATTTTTGTTGCTTGCAAAAATGAAACTATGGTTTGCTTTGTTTAGCCCAAGTAATTAAAAAAATGTGCTGACATCTTCGTACTTCAGAGTAAGACGTTAAAATGTGGTAGATGTGTTGTAGGTTTTCCCAACATTGCAAATGACTCAGCTCTCCAAAATCTCATTCTGCTTTAGCTTGTAAAGTTAGTGCTCTGTTACCTGAGCTTCCAGAGTTGCTTTTGACTTTGAACATGCTACATCCTCAGACACTAATGAGCATTGTCTGTGCTGTACCCATTGGGCTGCCACTTTATTTGACGTAGAGAAGAAAAAAAAGGGTCTGACTTGAATTTGACAAAATGTGAATGAAGAGTAGGAGGGCAAAAGATAAAATGGCTGCAGATAGGGAAGTTTTCCACGAGGTCTCTTCTTCTTTCACTACGTAAGATATATGATGCTATAGGGATAGGTAAAGTTTGCATATCAGCCACAGTCCCCATCAGTAATCAGGATTTGTGCCACATGTGTTTCAGAATTAGGGAAGTTTGGGAATGTGTTGCTTGTGTGTATATATATATATATATATATATATATGTTGTGTGTATGTATATATATATATATATATATATATATATATATATACACGTATAACACACACATATATATATATGTGTGTTGAATATGTATACTGAACGTATAATTAGAGTATCAGAAGGTACGTACACAGAAAGATAAGATGTGGTTACATGGGAGATCTTTTTTTTCCTTGATGTTGCTCCCTAGCTATGTGGAGTTTGACCTGCAGAAATGTTTAGTCACTGTAGTATCTAAAGCAACGTACTCTGTGTGTTGCATATAAATATAGAACAAAATACCTAGAAGAGATGTAATCCGACTTCCTGCCTCAAGGCCATATGAGTTTGAACCTATAGCAGGCATAATACATATTACTCTTACCTGTTATTGAAAACTTCAGAGATATCAGTTTAAATCTTCTTAAACAGTTTGAGATTATCTGCTCTTGATATTTGAAAGGTTTTTCCAGTGTCTGAATTACAGCTTTCCTGCTGTTATGTCTTCATATCCTAACCATACTAGAAATACAGGACAGGTTTTTTTCTTTCCTCTTGCAGCAAGCACTTACATATTCATAGACTGCTATCATATTTCCTTTCATGTTCTGTGAATCAAATAGCTTTGTGTTTGTTTGTTTTTACTTAGGTTACACTTTTTAGAATACTTTTCTTTACTTTTATTCTCTCAGATTGGTCTGAGTCCTTTTTGGAGTGTAACACCTGTTGCCAGAATCCATACTTCAGCACAGACCAACTAATATGTGATGTGTTGTGTGTCATTTTGCCTGTGAAAATTCATAGTCATGGGCTCACTGAAATCGCCAGGAAAATGAAATGGCCTAACATTTATTTTCTAATACAAAACAATTCACTGAAGTGCTGTATGACCTGGTAACAGCTTTTTATTTATTCTGAATTCCGCTTTCCTCTGGCCAACAAGTAAAAGTAACACTTTCCTAGTATTAAAAATAACTTTGAGGAAATCAGAACAGAAGAAAATCATAAAATATGGATCAACAACTGAACTGAAAGCAAAGAAAACTACTAAAATGCTTCTTTCACAAAAAAACCTTTTCAGCAGAACAGCATTAACTTTGGCCTAAGGTTTTTTAAATAAATATCTTAACTAATACACATAATGTGACACAGATGCAAAATTCATCTGTAAATTTTGAACTGTGTATACTGATTGGGATTTCCTTGGCTTAATAAGTTTCAGAAGGAGAAGTCATTATTTTTCTTTTCTGAATTAACACAGACATTACAAGCTCAAAGCCTGTCACAATAGGTGCAAAAGCTGCCCATTTGCCTTCCCTTCAGAATGTCAGCATGTAAAAAGGCATTTCCAAAGGCAGAGTGTAAGGCTATATCTTCTCCCTCAGCACAGCTTCAGTGCTTTGGATTTGGAGGAAAGCTAAGACAAAGAAAATGCCTCCTGAAGTTTGTCAAGGAAGGGGTTAAAAATAGTGGAATCTTTGTGACTGAGAGGGGCTGAATTATCTTACTGACACCAGCAGGGGTTGCTGTCACTGGTTTGTGGTTGCCACATTCCTGTTATGCTTGACCTTGGAAAGGCTTGACAACATAATCTGGATTTGATTAAGGGAATTTCATGTTTTTCCTTTGCTAGAGTCACCCCCCACCTCGACAAACATTTAAAAATGTTAAGAAGAAAAAAGTTTGGAAAGCAAACATTTTCCCAAAAGAAATTTATAGTTCAAATTTACACCAAGTTCTCACTAACTGGAGCAGTCCGGGTTTCCACTCAGGCTTTGAGCACTCTCTGTAAACCATTAGTCACTTCCCTGGAAGAGGCAGCTTTTTATAGGCAGCAGGGTAAAACAGGCACAGATGTATGTGTAATGTTAGAGTCTTTCACATGTACCTGCCTTTTTTCCACCCTAAGTTGTAGAAGAGAAAAAAGAATCAAATGATATGACACATCAGATTTTGTTTGGTGATGGCAATGATTGGCTTAACTAAAAGAGAATGTTTTTGATGCACAAAATCCTACGTTGGATTCATGAGGTTGTGGCAATGTATAGCATGGAGATGGAAGTTCTTTTAATTTTTAACCAGTTGTTCTTTTCTCTCTACAGGACTGTGATTATGCCAGCTGCCAATGAGTTTGATCCAGAGATTGTCCTGGTATCAGCAGGATTCGATGCCGTGGAAGGCCACGACCCTCCACTGGGTGGCTATAAAGTCACAGCTAAATGTAGGTATAATCTCAGGATGCGCTCTTCTGAGTTAGTACTTTTTCTGAATAGAATCTTTACTTGAAGTCCAGGTTACATTCGTATGTCTATTCTGTGACATGACAGAGGTGCAGTGGAGGGCGAGGATTCTGTTCATCTGTGCTCAGCAATACTGTGGCACTGCAGGACCTCACCCAGCTCACGGATGAGATAGAAATGAACATGTTAGCATTTCTGGCTTGCTCCTTTCTGTTCCTTTTGGCATTTCTGTCTTGGCTTTTTAAAGTATTACTTTTCTGGCATTCAAATAACATTTTAGAGGTTTCATGCTTTTCAATAGGCCCCATTTTTCAAATACTTGAGTAAGTTATTTCTTTTTAAATGTATACTGGAGATTTTAAGCATTGGAGGCCTAGATCCAATCTCATATTGCTGTTTTGTTATTGTAATCTCTTCAGCTTGATGGCACTAATTCTGAATTACATCAGTGCTCATGAAGGCCAAAATTTTCTAAAAGACTGCTCTGTTGGGTCTCAATATTTGGATGTCCATTTCATACCTCAAAGAAGTGTGTTCAATACAGTTTTAATACAGGTCTATCTGATACATCTCATACATAGTACTCCAAAGTCAAGTCACAAGCTTTACTGAATACTGTGGCTGAAATGATCTGAACCTGAGACACTGAGCATGGCTGGATAATGTAATAATGCTTGTACAGTAATGTGCAGTATGACTTTGCTATGCAGAGATGTACTCCCATGAAGCAATGCAAAATTTTCCAATTCAGTACTGTGAATAATTTTCTTTGCCATATCTCAAGACATACCATATTAACATTTAATTAGTTATTAACTATTGATCCCTGTTGCTAATCCAAAATGCTTTGTGAAAAGCCTGGAGTAATAAGAACTAATGTCGTTTAGCACGCTACACAAATCGGCTTCAGCTCAGAGGAGTTTTGTCCTTCTGACCTCTTGCACTTGTTATATATTTTGTTATATACATTGAATGAAGATGGTATCTACTTCAGGAGGACCAGGGAACAGGCACAAACATTTTTGCTTGCATTTAAACTGTGCAACATAGAGGTTTCTCTGAATGTCATGCACAACAAGTAGGTGAAGAGTGAGGATCTCTATTCATAGTGATATGCTGTGGAAAGTGAATATGTGCATAGAGCAGTGCAAGATCCTCCTGCACATACTCACATAGGTGCTAGATTACAGCTGGGTTGGAACAGTAATACCCCTTTGACTGCAAATAAGATGTACAGAGATTTTAAACAGTTTTTAATCTTAATGCAATGGCTGCATTCAAGAAGAAAAGCATAGTATATTTGAGTAGTATGCACTTTTGAGCACCACTTATCTGTGCACTACAATTTTTAGTAAGATGGATGTTAAAAATTGCTAAAAGATTTACCTACTTCAAAAAAAAAAAAATTCTGAACTATAATTCATCATCAGAGGCACAATTTCATGAGCATTGAATAGTTATTTGGACTTAGCACAGGAGATGGCATGTTAAGTGTCCTTTAAGTATCCATGATGCTCCAGCAGGATACTCTGGCATACGTTATTCCTGAAGATAGGACATTCTCATATAAGTTTGAGCAACTTTCATATAAATTGCAATAATGTTCATATTTTCTTCTTAGAATAGACTGAATTTCACATGACAATAAAGTGTTCAATGTTTGAGTTAATGCTAATTTCAATTCATTCATGAACTATCACCACAACATTTTAGAAACTGAGTCACAATATATCTATAGTATGCTGCACATCCATAAGTGGTACATATGTCTGTAAGTAGAAGAAGGTGATTTACAGTAGGTGAGTCTTGTTTAAATTAAGGGAAACGCCAAGAGAGATTCAAATGATCATATACCTGAGAGATGAATAAAACCTTTTGTACAGAGCCAAAGGAATTTATTATTTCCCCAAAACAAAATTCTCTGCATTCCTTCATGCCTTTGTAGAACATAACATACTATATGTGGTATGTAGAAAAATGAAGTTTATTTTAAAAAGACCATTTAAATTCCAAAGAAACCTCCATATTAAAAACTACGAATAGGTTTTCATGCAATTTTTTTAATATTTCTTTGTAAGAATTAAAAATTATGCAGAAGCAAGTAAATGTAAAGATTCATCTGAAAATAATTCTTTGTAAATCATAGAACCCTTAGAGATGGAAGGGACCTCTGAGGGCCATCTAGACCAACTCCAGTATTCAATTATTCAATCTTCAGCATTTTCCATGCACTTAATACCTTGGATTTTCTGATTCCTGATGTCCCAATACAAATTTCACACATGAAAAATAGGGAGATACTGACATCAAATTTACTAACTTTGTTAAAGACAGGTAGAGAGACACTGGATTTTTGATAGAAATTATGTTTTGTCTTCAGTAACAGCTAAAAAATTAAAAAGTATTTACCAATCAGCATTTCCAAGTAATAAAGTAAAAGCCAGAGGATGAAAATAACGGATGAGATCAACTACAGCCTTGGAGTAACTGTATAGCAGGCCATTACGTAAAGAAAAATTTGGTCTATTTAACCTGTGCAGTTTGAAATGTGTACACTATAAACTGTTTTAAACTAATATTTTAATTTTTTCCTGTACTGATGTATGATCTGACTTACTGAGCGGCTACCATTTCTGACTATTAAATATATCAGCAACAAATGCATATTTTTGCAGCTGATTCTAATGAATGCATTTGATGGGCAAGGCAAGATTTCTCACAGTGTGATGACCTTCAGCTCCTCTAGTAGACAATAGCATGGAAAAAAGCCAACTAAGATCAACGATAATAGCAGAGCTAAAAGATAACTCAATTTATCTCTAGTCTCATTAAGTAACTAAATCACTAAAGGTTTTTTCCACTGGGGAAAAAAAATCTTTAAAAGAGACTGGGGGAGTTGAATCTTTCCTTCCTTTCTGCACATTTTAAGTTATTTTCCACAAGTAAATGTTTTTTTCCAGCTGCCTTTGCAATCCTTCTTTGTTGATTTTTCTGAAGAAAAAGGTTCTCACTAAACTCATTTAAATAACATTTACCTGTCTGCTGCAATGTGGAAGTGAGAATAAGCATAAACTAAAGCACTCATTTAAACCCTAACTTTGAGGATTTCACAGGCACATTTTCTTTTGGTTGCTTCTTTTTATCCCTTATCCATTTCAAAGGCAGCATTATGCATACACAACTTGAAACATATACTTGATCTATGTGCATAAATGTAGTGATGGATTTTATAATCTGTTAAGAAAAACATGGGCTTCAAATACTTAAGATGTAGCATAGTATGTAACTTACTGGTGCCAGGAAGCTTTTAAACATTTGGTATCAGCTACGTTTCTAATATCTCAGTAAGAAAAAAAAAAAATAATAACTCTATAAACAATACCTTTTATTAGACCACTTAGATTAGCTGAAAATTGTGTATTTCTGAATGAAAAATCCCTTTTCCCAGAGTAAGGTCTTCCCCAAAAAGGGGACATTGTCTGAAAAGGAGTTGTTTTCCAAATAAACCTTTTTTATGATGAAGATATCCTTGGTAACAAACTGCCTATGTCCTTAAGGCTACCACAGCTGCACAAAGTCTGACATGAGGAAGCAAAGCAAAGAAAGCGAGGCATACGCTGGTCCTGCTGACCCAAGGTCTTGGACAGTGATAGGAGCCAAATCCTGCTCAGGAGCTTCTTTAAATTATGATAGGCCTGGATCATGTTGCCAAAGATATTCAAGCCACTTACCTCAGATTTTGCTTTCTGTGACCCTGTCTTATGACTCAAGCTCAACTTACTTAACTGAAACAAAGGAGAAAAGTGGTTTATTGCCAAGTGCACTTTTGGTGCCACAGCTGCCTCCATGTTGCTTGGTTACACTGGTTCCCCAAGCTCCGTTGTGCAGATGTGTGCAGCAGCAGAGCTCTCTTCCTCACAGCTCTCATATCCAGAGTAACTATTGATGTCATTGAGATGCCTTTGTTTGGACTAGGTGCTATAAATGTGCTTTAATTTCACTGTTAACTATAATCAACTAAGAGGAAACCTTTCCTTAGTTCATGACCTAATATTTCTTATTTCTTATTTATTTATTATTTATTATTATATTATTTATTACCAGAACCGAGTTATATTTTTAATAAAATAACAGGTATCAGTACAATATGTTACATACTGTAAAAACATAGCTGCATAAAGTTCTTTTTTTTTGTACTTGAGTATTAAAAATTGTGCTGACAATAAAACAAAGAAAAATAAAGGGCAAAGAAATAAAGGGGTTGAAGTGGTTTTGAAGTGGAGGAGTTACTAAATATAGAAATGATATATTTTGTGTTTTATTTTATAATTACTTACAGCCTCTGGTAAAATGCACTGTATTGTTGTGCCAGTTGAGAGCTGTGAGGTGTATGGGTCTGAGAAAGAGGTTCCAGGTCAGATCATAAATTTGGAGGTAGTTGGATCCTGTGAAAGCACTGCTTTCAAATTTTGCCCTGCTGACTGTAGAGGTTCTCCCTGTAACGTTATCCTGAGGTAAAGTACTTCCTCTTTGTTTTATAAAGCAGCCCTAAGAATAATGTCTGCATTAACGTCCCTGCTATCACTTTACTGATTAAGTAAATATTCTGCCCAATTGCTCATTAAATAGTAACTATTCAGTAAAAAGAATAAAATAAATAGAGAAGTGTCAGGCAAGACTTAAGAATTTTTCAGGGTACTTATATTTGTTAAGGGCAATAATGATTTACTGGAGTTTTCCTGTTGTTTTACTCTTAGTCTAAAGATGCTATTTGACACCAGAGTGCAAAATAAGATCAGCAATTAGCACTAGGAAAAGATACTGCTGCAGGCATTCATGGTGTAAATCATACCTGTCTAGTATTATGCCAAATTCATTATACAAGGTTGATGCAGTGTCTAGAATGTAACTGACTGAGCTGATTTGTAACTTACAAAGACTTTAAGCAAAGTACAGTAACTCCCTTAATTTATCAAAATGC